AGTTGGAGGAGGGTATAAGAACGAGGAGGGGGTGGTGTGGTTCAGTTCAGTGGTGGAGGCTTATGAGAGGAAGAAGAGGGAGGGCAGACAGAAAGCTTTTGAAAGGGTCCGCTACCAGGGGTTGTTAAGAGATTTTCCCCATTTGAAAGAAGGTGGCTTGTTGCCCGATCCACCATCCGTGACTGAGACTTTCCTTCGCAAATTAGTGAAAGAGTGGAATGTAATTGTGGCGCCCAGAGAGTTAGAGATTCAGCGTGAACGTGCTTGGATGACAGCTGAGGAGCACGAAGGTCCCGACGAAAGAGGATGGTACCGACACAAGTGCTGTGGGACCATTTGTGCCATGAGGAGTCTCCCTCCTCCTCAGAAGGAGCCGTGGGGATCTTGTGGGACCCGCCGCCTGTGACTCCTTGGGAATTTGATCAGAGTTTAAATGTTGTGGAAGTTTGGTGACAGTCCTCAGGACTTCCATAGTAACTCTTCCTACTGAACTACTGTTTAGGTGTTCCCTGGGAAGAAGGTATGGCTATTAATTCAGCTTATATCTACAGTGGGAGTATTGCTCTTATCTTGTGCTGAGATTAGGAGCATTGTAGTCAAACACGGCAATAGGGTGCTAGGTCTGGGAACAGTGATGAACACTCATGAGATAAATCTGTGATTCTCATATTCCAAACCAGAATATTGAAAAGTTGCTTTTTAAAAAGACTACAACTCCCTGAAAATGAGAGATTTGAATAGCTAAAACTGTGACTCTTGTCGAGGTTTGTTTCTAATATCCTTAATCTTTGTCTTCTGTTTGTCCATCTCCTGACCCTTTCTTTTCTTACACCAAAGACACTCCTGGTATATCCTTGGGCTTCTCGCTGGCAGCTGATGAAGTGACTGATTCCAAAATTGTGGTAAGAGAGATTGGACGAGTTTCAAATACAATAGTCCTGCAAACCCAGGATTTGACGGGGCTTGCCAAGAACCTGAGCCCCTTGGTCAGAGAAGAAGTGGAAATTGCTTCTCTAAATGTGCCTGAGACTGGCTTTCCTCGATTGGGGAAGGTTGGCCTGAAATGATCTCAGTTAATCAACTGGAGAGCCCAAGAACATATGGCGGTTCATCCTTTATTTTCTACAGGCCTGTGGCCCAACTTGGGAGCGCCGGTGTGGAGAATTTGATTATTTGAATGGTGTCTGCTACATCATGAACAATTTTGATCAAAACTTGAAAGTGGTCCGTCCAGCTTTCCAAGGTGAGATCCGGAAATAAGAACTTTGTTTACCTCCTAGCATAGTACTTCTCAAGCAGTGATATATATCTCTGTGGTGAGATGCGAAGTAGTTTAGTTCAGGAGCAGGTGTATTATTTCTTACAAAGAAGAATTTTTTCTCCAATCCATGCAGACTGCAAATGTGATAAATTGTGTCATGTAACAGTTTTCAACCATTGATGGAATTATTGTTTTTATTTATTTATGTTTACTCCCAACAATACTCCCTTCCTTCCTTCCTCCACCTTTCTCCCAGGGCAGTGACCCAAGATGGCAGTCATTTTAGATTCTTAAAATTTACTAATAACAATAAAGACAGAAGAACTGTATGCCACCAGCAAAGAGGGGCAACATCAAACTGAGGAGGGGAAGGAAATGGAACCAGAACCAGCTATACTTGATGTGGGCAATGAACCAACTGCCAAATAACTAAATCCCAGGGGTTGATGACATCTTGGTAGAATTGCTGAGGCCAGTACCAACAGCAATTATCAAAATCTTGTGCCAGAAAATTTGAGAAACCAACACATGGCCACAAAACTGGAAACAATCTGTGTTTATTCCATTACCAAAAAAAGGAGGATTCAAAGGATTGGTCTAACAACCACACAATTGCTCTCATCTCTCCTCCTAGTAAGATCTTACTGAAAATTATATAAAAACACCTGTCACCAGTCATAAAAAGGGAATTGCCAGATGTTCAAGCTGGATTGCATCATGGTCTTGGCACCGGTGATCGCATTGCAAACGTGTGATGGATAATGGAAATATGTTATGAATATCAAAAGAACATATACATGTGCTTCATCGATTATAGGAAAGCTTTTGACTGTGTTGACCATGACAACATATGGAGAACCTGTGAAGACCTTGGAGTGCCAATACATTTGGTGAAGTTGCTGAAATCACTGTTTGAAAATCAGGAAGCCAGTGTATGAATTAACTCAATATGGAGATTCGCGAAGGCTTTCACGGCCGGGATCTAATGGTTGTTGTGGGTTTTTTGGGCTCTTTGGCCGTGTTCTGAAGGTTGTTCTTCCTAATGTTTCGCCAGTCTCTGTGGCCGGCATCTTCAGAGGACAGCACTCTGCGCTCTGGTGTAGTTAGCTTTGGGAGTACAGTATTTATGGCTGTGAGATAGGCTTTTGTCTTTTTCTGTAGATGGATGATTAGTGTGTATTGTTGTGGGTGTATTGTTGTGCTAAGGAGAAGAGATTATCAGTTCCTGTGGTTGATGGGTGTCATTAGCTGGTCTTTTGTGTGTAGTGATCCCCTGTCCTTGTGGCTCTGAATCTTATTAGGGTCATCGTAAGTCCGGTGCAACTTGGTGGTACATAACACACATAATAAAATGCTTGTAAACATACAAATGTCCTTTTGGGTCAGGGGAGTGGAGTTTTAATTTCCATCATGATGGAACCCAAGTTCTTTGATTGACATGTGAAAGGACTGTATGAAAACCACTGGTCTGTCATACTCATACTTGTTTACTGAGTAGCATGGGTGTCGCCAAGGGAAATGGACTCAGGAAAGTAGGTGGATGAAATTTTGGCTTAGGCTAGAATTTCCACTTCTTTTTCCTTGACATCATAAATACTCTACCCTTAGGGTGCTACTTCAGTTGTAGAAATGTAATAGGTGGGGTTTTTCGATATTGCTGAATGCTCTGTCAGTTAGGTGGCTATTGAAGGCACAAAACTTTTATTAAGGCTATAAATTGGCAGCTTTAGATTAAAAGAGTAGCAGAGGCCCTCAGAGAAAAGCAGAGTACTGTATAATAGAGCAGAGAGAGCCATGACTGGGCATTGGGATGTGGATTAAAGTCATAATTCGTGAGGGAGAGTTAGATGGGAATGTATTTCTCTTCTTGGCATTTGGTAGACAGGTTCCAGCATCTTGACACACTGAGGTATTATTAGGCACTGTTGTTAATGTAGCAATCCTGCTTTTAATATCTTTGTACTCACAGTGTCTGTAGCCCCTTTAGAAAGAAAGAAGCTTCCAGTACAGTGGTGCCTCACTAGACTATTGCCTCGCAAAATGAGGAATTCGCTAGACAGATGTTGTGCTTCACAAAATGATTATTCCTATGGACAATTTCCGCTGGACAGTATTTGGGTCCTTGCCTCCGCAAGACAGTTTTTACCTACAGCTGACTCTGTTTCTGCAAGATGTTTGGGTCCTTCACTCTACCACTGTTTCACAAAACCGGTTGTTTTCCCCCAATTGGAACATATTAATTGCATAAGACCTATTTTTTATCCCAAAGAAGATGGGGGAGAAAATACATGCTGCCGGCTTATATACTTTCTGAGGATAAGAAAGTAGATCTTACATAATTAACATGCTTCATTTGAGGAAAAACCATCACCAAAGGGATTGTAACTATAAATTTAAATGATAGAGAACAATGAAAATAGCCAGGAATCAAAGTGCAAAGAAATTGTTTTTTTTAAAAAAAATTACAAACATAAAGTCTTCAGTAGCATGAATTCTGTACTTGAGCTCCCACATTAGGGGAATTGACAAGCTTCAATAACACAACCAAAATACAATGGATAAACCTCCCCTAGAAAAGCCAATTTTATAAAATGGCATTTCTTCTGCAAGGCATGAATTGGATTGACCCTTGCACCCTGTACCCCCTTCTGTTCCCTGCCCCCCCAAGTCATGGTGACCCCCTGGCTGTACCTTCCACTCAGTACAGGGCTGCATAGCCCCAGTTCTTCCAGAGGCCAAGAGAGCTCCTCAGTGTTTTGGGGTGTCCTGCGGGACCCACATCAGGGGCTAGGTATTCCTCCCACAATCCTCTAGTGCAGAGGTATTAACATATGCACCTTGTGCTAATATCTGTGCACTAGAGGATTGTGGGAGGAACACCTAGCCCATAATGGGGGTCCTGCAGGATACCTCAAAACACCAAGGAGCTCTCTTGGCCTCTGGTGGAACTGGGACTGTGCAGCCCTGTACTGAGTGGGAGGTGCAGTCGGGGGTCACCATGACTTGGAGGGGCAGGGAACAGAAGGGGGTATGGGGTGCAAAGATGAATGTAACCAATGTTTTACAGAAGAAATGCCATGTTATAAAAGTGGGTTTCTTAGAGAGAGGCTTATCCATTGCATTTTGGTTATGTTATTGATCCCTATGATTTCTCCAAATGTGGGAAACTCAATTGCATAATTTATGTTAATGGGTAATTATACTTTAGATTACCCTGATTGCTTAGATTTTTTTCTTATCCTTGTTCCTTCTCATCATGGTTTTTTGCAAAAGCAGTAAGTGCTGGTGATGTGTTGCATTGTCTTCTTTCTGTTCTCAGTGATAAATGATCAGGTGAAAGGAGTCATCATTAGCGGGAGCTAGGGGACTGTTTTGACTCCTTTTACTCTATTTGTTTCTGGCAAGAGAAAGAGGGGGAAGGCTGTCTGAGACCCATTGAATTTCCAAAGGCAATAAAGGGGAGGGGATTGCCTTTCCCCAGTATGGTATGGGGAACTGTGTTTTGAAAGACACAGTCTTCTATGGACAATTTTCGCAAGACAGTGATTTTTTCCCCAATTGGAACACAGTAAATGGATTTCAATGCATTCCAATGGAGAACTGGGTTTTACAAGATGATTTTTTCACAGAATCACAAACACAGTAAATGGATTCGATGCACCACTTGTATATTTCTGGCACCACTTGTATATTTCTGGGCGTGACTCAAAGCACTGACTGTTATTTTCAATAAATTTTAGGCAGGTTGGGGCCTTGGTTTTTCAAGAGCATTCTCCTCCCACATGCATCTACCACTGTCACAGAAGACACTGTCCCGGTTAAATGATTTGTGCTGGTCCAAATCTGAATTTGCCCTGTCAATTCCTTATTTGTAATTGCCATGGAAGGCAAATACACTGAGAAAATTATTGTATGCGTTTTAAAGGAGCCAGCCTCTACATGGGCTAAGGTGTGTTATGGAGTGGAAAGACATATATTGCGGTTGTTCAGTCATGACTTTTGAATCTTTGGAGGAACTGGGAATCAAGTCTAGCCTTATAAGTCCAGCATTATGCTTCAGAAGGGAGGAAATAGACTGGGAGGTGATTCAGAAGACTCCATATTCTCTTGAGGACTCTATGTATAAACAGTTTGGCTAGAACTGGGTGGGAAGAATGTGAACCAGGTCTGCATGAAGCCATTAGTTGCATCAAACTCTTTCAACCCAACCTCACCATGGATTTCTTTGGGAAAAAAGGTAATCGCCACTCCTGGAACTTTCCAGAAGCACAGATTCTCCCTCAAATAGGTGACAACTGCACCACCGCCACCATCTTAAACACCAAAGTACAATCTTTTAAACCTGGACTTCGGTCTTAAAATTTGTTTTGTTGTTTCTTTTTTTAAAAAAAATACAGTACAAGTTTTTATTAACGTTCCATAGGAATAGGGGTTGAGGTACAGATAGGGGGTTGGGGTATAAAAAAGTGGGGGGGGTGGATGGGAAAGAGTAAAATTCCAGAGGGTGAAAGAGTATTCTTATATCCACCTATACAGTTATGTTAAAAAGCGAAATCATACAAAGAGAAAACAATATAGCAATTTTTCAGCAGATCTATAGTTACTAATCTTCCATTTCCTTCGATCTTCTTTCTTTTTTTAATCTTAAAACTTACTAATTTTGTAAGTTTAATATTATTCTGCCAAATTTGTGTCCACTGCTCTAAATCAATATTATAAGCAATATTTTGTGCCCGTTTTATCATATAATCTTTCACCACAACGTACCCTCTTACATTTTACATTTCCAGCATTTGTTAGAAATATTTTTATACATTTTAGACAATTTACGTAGTTGGAGTCTTATACCATTTATAAAACATCTTATCTATATTTTCTTATTCTGCTAAGTTTGTGTCCACTCCTCTAAATCAATATTATAACCAATATTTTGTGCCCATTTTATCATGTAATCTTTCATCGCTTCATCTTCCATTTTATCAACCATTTATATATAAGTAATTAAATCGGCTCCCAAACACTTCATCAACTCCACATACTGTACAGCATTTGTGGTGTTGTTTCCATAGCTCTTTGTGACTGATGTGGACCCCAGATCTGCCAAATATACCCACTCTTACTCTAGGAGGGAGTGAATTAATCTGGCAGGGAGAGAACTTTTTTGTGTGTGTCTATAATTATTGGGACAAGGAAAGGGGTGAAGTTCTCCTTGTTAAGATATAGCGACTTGCTACGCAAACCTAGTTGCATATCGGCTGTTGGACAAAAATTGTCAAGGGGAACCTTTACCTTTACCTTACTCTAGGAGGGAGAGAATTAATCTGGCAGGGAGAGAAATTTTTGTGTGTGTCTATAATTATTGGGACAAGGAAAGGGGTGAACTTCTCCTCGTTAAGATGTAGCGACTTGCTAAGCAAACCTAGTTGCATATCAGCTGTGCCACCACATCCATCATGGCTCTTGTCCAAACAGAGTGTGTCTCCGGTGTGGATGCTGTGATCTTATATGATGACTCTAGGAGCATCAACGACGCTGCTTTCCAGACCATGCAGACCTTCTTCCTCAATCTAACAAATTCTGTAAATGACCTGGATGTACAGGTGAGATCAATAGAAATACGCATACAGGAGCAAAGTACATGATTGTTGGCAGTGACTGGTTTCTGGGAAGTGACTGTGTGCATACACATATTGGTGTTCAACTCAAAGGAATCTTTGGTTATTAGAACCACACAGTTACTGCAAGAAATGTTAACGTCAGTGTAGAAATTAAGGAGTGACTGCACTGACAATGCGGGAAAGGCCCCGGGATTTGGAGGGTGTGATATATATTCAGCACAGGTGAATCTGTAGTCCTCTCTACGGAGTGAAAAATAGAGACCTTGCAAAAGTTACTTCTTTGGCCTGCAGCTGCATTTTGGTACTTAGAGTCCAAAGAAGGAACTTTTCTTATGTCTGGAAAAAACGTGTGCCTAACCTCTGCCATCCATTTCCCCCCCTCCTCCTGACCAAATCCAGTTTGCTGTGGTCCAATATTCCTCCGACCCCTTTCTTATTTTTGATTTCACTGCATATAATAACACTGGAGGCCAAGTAAGGAACACTCTCCACAGTGCCCAGCGGATCAGAGGAAACACTTTCACCCCTACAGCCATCCGCTTTGTGGTGTGAGTATTGAGGGGATTGGGCCTGGGATGATGGCGGGGAGAGGAGGGATAGTGGGCTTTTACCCTCTGCCTTTTTCAGAGCTGACCCAGATGCTGCTGCTGTCCTTGTAGGGAAAAGGTTTTTATTCCTGAGCGCGGCATGCGACCGGACAGCAAGAAACTCCTCATCGTTCTGACGGATGGCATCTCCAATGATCAACGTAACACGTTCGAGGAAGCCAAGCAGGCTGCGGATGCAAAAGGCATCATCCGTTATGCCATCGGGGTATGTTGACTAAGTACAGTAGTGGCTCGTGACACCACTCTTGACAGAGTTTTGGATGACAAGATGGAATATGTGGGGGAAAGCTGCTATTTTTGTATTACTTGTGGCAACGAGATGTGTTTATGTTTATTCATTTTATATGTCACCTTTCAATTGGGGTTGGAATGCAAGGCAGGATACAATGCATTTAAAAGTGTTTATCACTAAAAACACAGTAACTTACAAACAAAACAAGCCCACAATTACGTTTGTTATAGTATTAAACATAATTAAAGTTAAAACAGATTTTAGGGCAACTAGATGGCGATTTTATCATACTCTTGGCTAGTGCTCCCAGACTTTGGAAGTCCCTCCCATGAGAGGCTAGACTGGCCCCATATTTCTTGTCCTTCCACAAGCAAAGACCTTTCTTTTCAGGCAAGCTAAATGAGGGACTAAAATTCAGGCCTGGGTTCAAACCCTTGCTCAGCCAGGGAAACTCACTAGTGGGAGCAGAACTGGTAAATCACTCCTTAAATATCTCACCTTGAAAGCCATATCAGGATCACTATAACTCAGTTTTGACTCAAAGGCACATAACATAACATTATCAAGATGTTTCATCAAGCCCAGATTAGGGACGTTTTCTGGCCAGGTAGTATGTTCAGAGTAAACTAATCATTTTGACTCTTGAGACAGTGGAAAATTCTTAAAGGGGATGTTTATTTTCAATAGCAGAAGCTGAAATTCCCTGCCCTGCTACCCCTCTCTGTAAGTCTCTAATGTATATTTCAGGTTGGTCAGAACTTCGTTGAAGGACAAGATGAGCTACATAAAATTGCCTCATCAGCTCACAATATTTTCTCAGTAAAGAGTTTTGACGCACTTCATAGCCTTCAGGAAGAGCTGAAAGAGAAGATTTTCGCCATTGAAGGTTGAACATTGTTTCCTGATCTTTTCCTGACTCTCCCTTAGAGATCTTTTGCTATTAATTGCAAGCTCCTTCTTACGCCAACTCTTGTCTAGTACAGACTGAGATCTTCTCTTCTCACAAAAAGAATGCTGAGGATAGAGCTCCTTCTTACGCCAACTCTTGTCTAGTTTTCTCACAAAAAGAATGCTGAGGATAACATTGCTGCAGGAAATAATGGTACCTGTCTGCAACTGCTTCTTTATTCTTCTTCCTTTTAAAAAAATCTTTATTTTTTTTGCAACTGCTTCTTTATTCTTCTTCCTTTTTAAAAAAATTTTTTTCCTTTGTTAAATGTCAGAGGAAAGAAGCCCTCTGGTGCTGGAGAGAGGGAGCAGGCAACCTACAAATAATTAGTTCCAATAACAATAAAAGTAAGAGAAAGGCAAGAAAGTGTTCACCAAATGCAGGGGAGTATTGTGAGGAGAGATTGTGGCTTTGTTTATGGTTGTTGCTCACTGTTACTGCTTTTAAACAATATAACCCTGGACTAATGTGATATGAAGGGGGAAGGATTCTGCATCTAATGTAGGGTGGAGAGCTTATGGCCTTTTTGGTGCTGATGGGCTGCATCTCCCATTGGGGTCTCTGTCCCACTCTGTGAGATCCTTATATAGATTTTGCTGACATCAGTGGTGAAAAAACAGTTTGGAGGTGGGTGTGAGACCACCCGTAAGGCTCAATATGTAAAGTCACAGGGAACTGCATCATTACATCTGCAGTTTGTCTGCCACTGCTGTAATGAATGGGAAGCCAAAGTTTTAAAAACCTTTGCTTGTGTACATGGGAACTGGGGGAGTTGTATCACTCATTCCTAGTGATGTCACTGGCACTGTCCAATAGGTTCTGCCAATCTTCATGTGACTGGGCTTTACCTAACAGTAGCAAGAGCAGATCCAAGAGAACCACTCAGCTGAAGGGAAATCACGTTGTCCTCAAGATCTGAATATGATAACGGGAGTGCTACCTGTGGAAAACATTTATCCCAAATTGAGTCCATCTTTCTCCCTTTGCCTCTGCTCCTTTTTTATTGTTTGCTTTCCTTCATTTTCTTTCTCCTCTCCAAAGGGACCTCTGGAGCCTCGCCTGGCAGTTCATTCCAGCTAGAACTTTCCCAAGGTGGATTCAGCACCCTTCTCACTGCTGTGAGTATAAATGGCCACCCATCCTTTTCTGTATTTCCATCAGCTTAACCCTTGATTATCCTTAATTTTGGGGTTTAAAAAGCTCCCCCTTGTATTTATGAAAAAATGCCAGCTCATGGATTCCAGCCACAATTAGAAACAGGATTTGCAGGTGGGCAGAAATTATGGGAATGGATTCACTGGGAATAGTGAATGGTTTTTGCTTATGCATCAGTTTGATCTTTGTATGTAGGAGGAAGAAGGAAGTCCCTTAGGGAATGACAGAGTGCATACATCCGTTCTCACATTTCCATCCCTCTTCCCATTGTTCCCCATCTACCCAGGAACATTTGTTAACTGGAGCAGTTGGAGCCTATGGCTGGTCTGGGGGTCTGGAAAAAGGGTTCTTGGCACAGCCTCCCCAAACCAAATTTCTGAATGACTCCACTGCTCACTCTGAGGACTCCTATTTGGGCAAGTAACTTCAGTACCCTGTTCCTTCCATTCCATGTCCCAAAACAGATCCAATTTTCCAGACCAGAAGCTGGCCACCACCTACTTTTCCTCTCTTTCTCTCCTACAGGTTATGCTGTGGCTCTGGCTCATCGTGGCCAGCTGGCTTTCTACATTGCGGGAGCTCCACGGTACCAGCATGTTGGGAGAGTCTTAGCTTTCGAAAGCCAGAATAGCCAGATAACTGCAACTGTTTGGGGCAAACAGGTAAGACAGAAAACCTGGGAGAAGTGGCTGTAGCGAACACGGGTTCGAAAAAACACGTGTAAGGTAAGACAGAAAACCTGGGAGAAGTGGCCTCAGAGCTTCTTTGGAGGTCTGTTCATCCTGTGTTCCATCTAAGGCAGAGGTTCTCAACTTTTTGTCATCCAAAGTTTTGGACATAATTTCCCATAAATCCCAGCCAGCATAGCCAGTGGCCAGGAATTCTGGGAGCTGAAGTCCAACAACCTCTAGGATGGAAAGCTGAGAATGACTGTCTGGGGCGAAATCTGGATTTTAATCAGATGGAGTTGCAGAGAACCTTGGCATATCAGGTCATATAATGGAATTTAATTTATCGTCACTTTTCTGCACTGCCCTAGACATGCACTCTGTGTATTATTTTTTTCTTTTCAGGTGGGTTCTTACTATGGTGCTGAGCTTTCCTCAGTGGATCTAAATGCAGATGGAAATACAGACCTCATTCTGATCGGTGCTCCCCTTAACTACAATGGGACACATGGTGGGCTGGTTGAGGTCTGCACCATGGATGATATGGTGAGCAAAACTATAAAATGAAGAAGAGAAGGCAGGGGGGAAGTAGGACGATCCCTGTTTCATAGGAATTGTGAGCAAAACTATAAAATGAAGAAGAGAAGGGGGGGAAGTGGGACGATCCCTGTTTGGATGCATAGGAATTACATGCCTTGTCCACTTCAGAATGTTATTCAAACCGCCTTCCCCAATCTGGTGCCCTTCAGATGCTTTGGATTAAAGTCTCCATCCCCTGTATGGCTGGGCATGATGGGTAATGCAGTCCTTTGCCTCTGAAGGGCAATGGGTTGGAGAAGTCTAGACAAAACTAATCATTTTCCTTCCTCTTGTGACTGGCTTGTTTGTTTATTATACTGTACAGTATTCCATTTTTCTGCCTTTCAGGGCCAGAGGACACTTTCATTTAAAAATAAAAAACAGGTTCAGTTCAAACACAACAAATTGTTCCTGTACCCATTTCCCTGTGTTTTATGTGGCAACAGCGAAGGAGTGCTATTTTAAAAGGCAGATAGCCACCATGGGGATTGGGTGCAAGATCAGGACCATAGCAGAAGCGGCAGGCTTCCTGCCCTAGCATTAAGCAAACTGCCTACAGAGGTGAGGCAGAAGTGTAACCAAGGAGCAGGCCTTCTCTGCCATGGCATCCTTTCTTCTAAGCAAAGTGAAGCAATTGCCTCAGGCAGCAGATATTATGCAGTGGCAATGGCAGCCCTCTGATCACCAAGCACCCCAGCCAGTCCCTTCGGTTGAAAGACACAAAACTCTCCCACGAGCTTGTTGCCCTCAGGTTTGCTAAAGAGCGCTGTCCCATTGCCAGCTCTTCTCCTTGCCAGCATTATTATAAAAATCAGAAGGTAGTCTTATTTGCCTCAGGCAGCAATGCATCTTGGGTCTACCTTCTATCAGATGGCAAGTGAAAACAAAACTGTTTGCCTAGGGGTTTTCTTTATTTTTCATTCTTCTGCACTATTCTTTAATATTTCCAAGTACTCTCATGTTGTTCTGCTCAACTATACATCTTGGTGAGGTGTCTTTTTAATCCAGGACACTTTTTTTACCCCTTTCTAGCTCTTTTAATCCTGTTTTTGAACTTGTGGGTACCCTTTGATGGCTGTATTAATTCCATTTAAGCTCGGTTTTCATTGCAGATATTGTTTTAGCTGCAATCATTTTAATACTGCATGTGTGGCTCCCCTGAACCTTTGATGAGAACAAAGCAAGGTGTAAAATAAATGAATATGTCTCATTGTAGGGTGGCCTTGTTTGCGTCCAGACACTTCATGGGGTCCCTGGCAATGGACTAGGACGGTTTGGGGCAGCCCTCTGCTCTTTAGGGGACGTGAGTGGAGACGGCCTTGCCGATGTGGCAGTAGGCGCTCCCATGGAGGACGAAGAACATGGAGCCATTTACATTTTCTTGGGAGAAACCGATAGGTTGAGGGAACAGCATAGCCAGGTAAGCCTGAGGGTGAAAATGGGCAGAATATTCTGCCAGAAGGAGCGAATGTATTGTCCCAGCTGAGCAAAGCGGGGTTTTCTATAGTTAAAAAAACTTGGATCTAGGCTGCTTGTCACCAGCCTGACACTCTCTTAATTGAATTAATTGAGTCGTTTTTCATACCACTGGGCTTAGAGAGAATTCACTGCTTTTGGCAATGAAGATCAGAGAATTTAACTCAGTGGGACTGGTTGCAGCCTGTCTTCACTCCTCCACCCACCAACATGACCATTGCTGCATGGGGATAAGGAGGATGATAACCCCACACACTGGGTGGGCCCCCGATTAGCCTCGGCAACCCACTTTTAGAGAGTCTAACTCTGCTTTGGATTCATGAAAGGCGCCTCGGCCTCCGCTGCCCCGTTGTTGCCAAGGGAATAGCTCAGCTAACTTCCCATCGGGTTGTTGGGAGACAAGAACCTGAAAGATACTTCCACGGTGCAGCAGTTTCATCAGTGGCTTGTTCAATTCTCCTCTTCCTTAGAGCGCAGTGAAAATATGGTAGGATCAGGAGAAAGCACTTATTTGCCTATTTCCCCTGCTTTAGTATTTGGGGGTGAGCAAGGCAATTCTTTTTATAGCAATGGATAAAACAAGTCTGTACAAGAGAAGGCCACAGTCTCCTTATTCACAAGCTGTATTACTAAATCAAAAGTCCTTTTGCTTAATTAAACCTGACTTTATTAACAGACTACAACGGTGATCAGATGGTAGCAAAGGAGTTCATAGCAGAAAGGGTAGCTTTAACAGGAACAAAAATGACTTTTGCATTTGCTGGGGAATTGATCCAGTCCTACAGCTGAACCAAGAAGGTCCAACTTGGGCCTGGATTGAGCAAAAATGACTTTTGCATTTGCTGGGGAATCGATCCAGTCCAACTTGGGCCTGGATTGAAGTTGGGCTGGAGCACATTTCCCTGTGCATCATGTGATTGCTGGGAAACAGGATGCAGCCCAAAACACTAAGAATACTAGCACATTTTAGGATAAGGCGCTTAATGCTGGTGAGTAAACCTAGGGAGAATGGAATTTCCACCTTTTAGAATAGGTGGAAAAAGCACAAAAGCTGATGAATGGCAAATGCAAATATAATGAAGACGGTTACTCACTCTGGGACCAGATTTGTCCCAAGATGTTTCTCACCTGTGTTTTACCCCATCACTTGATGACCTAATTTCTCTCCTCCCCCCCCCCTTTTCTCTTTCTCTCTCCTCCTATCTGTACAGCGTATCTCTGCCACTTCTCTTTCTCCCACACTCCACTACTTTGGACAGTCCCTCCAGGGAAGGCTGGACCTGAGTGGGGACCAACTGGTGGACATAGCAGTTGGCTCAAAAGGAAGCGCAGTGCTGCTTCGGTAAGAATTGGAAGGGAGGCACTAATGGACATAGACTGAAGTTGGGAAAGAATTAAGTTGGATTTTACTAAGGAGGAGTCTTTTTTCTTTCTATATGTGTTTTTTCATTATGCTGAACTGTAAATGTTTTCCATTTTATTAAAGCCCAAATTAGATGGGTAAGGGATGTATTTAAACCTTTTGCTCAGATGCTGGCGAAGTTTGTTGTTATGATGTGCTGTTTAAGTTGCATCCAACTTAATGGCAACCCTGATAGAGTTTTCAGGGTATGTAGGATATTTAAGGAGTTGCTTGATCAGTTCTACACACCCCGGTTGAGTGTTCATGGCTGAGCAGGGACTGGAATTCAAATAGCCCATCACTCTATTCACTACAACACACTGGCTCTCATTGGAAAAGTGTTCGCTCACATTGTCCTGGCATAGTTTGGCCTGTGCATAGTGATAAAAGGATCAAGCTGACATAAAAGGGAAATCTGCTGGGAGTGCTAAGACAATTCCTGTCCTCACTTGTGTGCTCTGATGCTGCCCCTGTGAATTAGAGGAGGGGGTGTTTGTGGACTGGGGCAAGCTGCTGCCATATCAGGCCTCAAGCAGTGTGACTCTCCTTATTCAGTTGTTGGCAATTAATGTTAGAGATGGAAAAAATAGTATATTTAAATACAGCTCCTTGAATCCCACAGCCAGCATGATGATAATGGCCATGTTTCCAATCACCGAGGGGTGCCTTCCACATATTTAACTGAAATTACAATACAGCTATTAGCTAAATGCACCATAAAATCCATTACTACCTACTGCTGCTGCTGTTTCCTTCTTCATTTTCATTTTAAATTATGTTTTTTTCAACCATGATTTGTACTATGGCTCTCATCAGCATCAACCACCACATCCAGTGGTGAGGGATTATGGGAGCTGTCATCCAGAATATCTGCAGCAGGGGCAAGTTGATCATCCCCATATGGTCTCTACGGGTGCTAAAAGAGGGAAAGGGTCAGATACAGGTAAATGGGCAGCCAGTTAATAGACTAATTAAGCTGGACTGGATGAGGTTAACAGATGGATTACTACTGTTCTATGTTATGGGACTGTTGGTCTGGAAGTGCTAGCATTTCCATCTCCTCTTGGTTTGCAAATGCATGTCTTCTCCCACTTGCCTCCCAGATCCAGGCCTGTCTTCACGGTCATCTCTTCACTGAGTTTCTCACCCACCTTGATTTCCTTGGATGACCCTAACTGTGGAAGCGGAAAAGTTTCTGGCTTTGGGCCCCGTGGGAACCTCAGTCTTTGCTTCACCCTGAAACTTCTGAGCAAAAAGTGGAGCAGCGGTAAGGCAGCCCAGATGACTCGCATGCTTAGTTGTCACCTTTATTCTTCTTTGAATATTCTCATGCATGTCCCAAAATCCTTCGGTCAGCGTCAGCAGTGAGTTATTTCCTCCATTTGGGTCATCTCGTGCACAAAACGCTCTACTCCTCATTGCCTCATAATTTTTCTTTACAATCTTTATTGCCTCCTCTACTTTTGTGTCTTATTGAGAGAATGCAAATATTGATTATTAGCACCTTGAGTCCTGCTGTATGTTGATTTCTCTCCACTCCCCTTCCATATCAGTTGTGCTCTTCCTGTGACTGTTTTTGCAGTGTCAGTCTCTCTCTCTCACACACACACACACGCACACACGCACACACACGTATGGTTGGGTGACTGGGACACACACACACACACACACACACGTATGGTTGGGTGACTGGGGGTCCCCGTGCTACATCTGTTGGGTGCATTGACTTAGCAGGCAAAGCCATGCCTATGTCTGCCACAGCTGCCCCACCAATTGCAAGCATTGTGTGCCATGCCATGGGACACACTCCTTTTCCTTTATGGCTCTGCTGACTATGGAGATGGAGAGGGGATCTGCAATACTTCATAGCAGTACCGTGCTGCCTTTCCATCATGTTGCCGTGTCACCATACCATCACAAAAGACACCAAGTTAGCAAAACATATCATGAGTCTATCTGCATTCTTTTTGGGCTTTTTTAAAATAGCTATCTTTCTTTATTGTTGCATTTGCAAGTTTTGCCAGCCTATTGCACAGGAAGATCTATAGTTAAAAGTAGATTGTCAAAGGAGATAAGAGGGAAGTTTCAACTGAAGATAAATACACTGTCTGAAACATTGATGTAGTGCTATGCCACTTAAAACAAAAAAGAGAAAAATACTTGCAAATTTGAAGGAACAAAAAAAACCCACCTCCCACCGCAAACAATTAGAAAAAGATAAACTCCAGACAAGATAGTTATGGACAAAGAAAGAACGCATGCCCAGGACTGACATATGAGTAATCAGAGTGTCCACCCCAGTTCTATTTAAGGCAATTTAAAGAACAATGTGGGTCCCCTGCACAGAATCAATCCAGTTCAACTGAGGTTGTCCCAGGAGGCTGGAAACAGAGATACGAAGAGCACATGGCATGAATTGATACAATAATACTCTGAAACAACTGTAGTCACACCCTAAATGTCATTCATTCCAATTCACTCCACCACTTTCCTTTTGTCTTTTCCTTTCTCTAATAGGTCCTCTGCGAACTACCATCTCTTTTAATCTCCAGCCTGATGCGAATCAGTCTTTGCCACGTCTTACGGTAGAGAACGAGGCCCCCAGCCTTGCAGAAACCATCCGGGTTGCAAGTATGCCAGTCTGTGTGGAAAAGATCCTCCAAGCTCCGGTAAACAGAAACATGATTTAGTGGTCTTTTTTGCACTGTGGTGTTATCTCTGGTTGTTCCAGAGTTGTCTTGGGTCATTCTAAGTTTTGATAATTTTTTTTACTGTATATTTGAATAGATTATTCCAGTATTTACATCCACACATGAGCACTGTGGTGTTATCTCTGGTTGTTCCAGGGTTGTCTTGGGTCATTTTAGCTTTTGATTTTATTTTATTTTATTGCTGTATATTTGAATAGATTATCCCAGTATTTGCATCCACACATGGTGGTGGGATGAATGGGTCTTTGTTGCTAGGTGTACTGGGATGCTCTGGGTTCCCCCCAATACCACTGATATCCACACATCAAGAATTGCTCCCCACGGTTTCTCTGCCAACACAGATTGCCCTCCCCTTTTGCCTATCTTCTCTTCCCTCTCCTTGCCTGCTATACTCTCTACTCCTTTCCCTCATTTTACCTGCCCACAGGGTGTTGAGATGTGGAAATCGATGGGCAGAATGTTTTTCTTTTCCTTTTGCCTTCAAAGGGAGATTACAAACTTCCAAAAGAGCTTATAATGCGTATGTACATCTGGAACTTAAATAATGTACACTGTGCTTCTGAAGAAGTGGAATGAAACTCATGAAAGCACACAGAGGAATAAATGTGTTAGTGTTAAAGGTGGCCTGAGAGTATTGTTTTTGTTCTTGCTCTTGTTATAAACACATCAGGAGGTTAAGTTCTGTCTCCTGAGACTTTAGCTGAGCTAAAGATGTTGTTGTTTAAGAGTTTGCCTAATCAGCAACAACTGTGTTTATGAATGGCTATTGCTAATGATGGATATGACCATCATCCGTCTGTCCTTTTTACCTCTCTTTTTTAATTGTTTAACATTCTATTTTCAGCTCTGAGCAAATTCTCAACATAGCAGTTCATCCCTCTGTTGAAATGCATTCTAGTAAATGAAAGGTCATTCCATAACGACTTTATCTGTATCTTAAACCACCAGACTCTCCTACAAATGATAGAATTTTGAGATACACGCAGGGCTGGCAGAATCTTGCTGCAAAGGACAAAGCTGTTAATTCACGATACTTTGAAAGAAATGTATTGAATTTAGATAGAAACTGATTTTTTAAAAAAATGTCTACTAGGTCTGTCTGGATGATACCTTCACTCCAGTTGTGTTGCGGGCAAACTTCTCAGTTCAGGGGGACCCAGATATCTCTGCTAAGAATCTACGCCCCGTCCTTGACCCTGGGACTAACCTTTCTGCCCAAATCCAGGTATTACCTTTTGATTTCTTCCCTTCATGTCCATCACCAAGGGAAAAATGTCTCCTCCATCTAAGGGATGGGCCAGCTCTGAATGACTGGGATCTTGCATCAAACCAATCTGTCTCATTTGCATCCTGTTTACTCATTAAAGACCTCTGCATGGGTTACGGTATCTCATTTTTGCTCCGACGGTAGACTTAGGTAAGGTCAGGTTATGATAAAGTGACTGACCCCAAGCTGATGGAATCTGAATCTACATGTTTCTGGTCTGTGCCCAAATGTTTTGGACACTACTGCAGCCTAAGCTTGGGGGGGAAAGTTACTTTCTTGGACTACAGGTCCCAGAATCCCTAGCCAGTACAGCCACCTGTTGTGCTGCTTGGGGGAGAAAGGTCTGGGATTTATAGTCCCCTAAAAATAATAATTCCAAGCTCTGGGAGCATCATGCTCGTTTCACACCCTTGTCAGTATCTGTAAAAGAGAAATCGGTAAATTTGACTGCAGTGTGGTATTTGATTGCAGTGAGGAAATAGAAACCAGCTGGGTTTTGTTTAATGGCAGCATCAAGAAAGGGAAGGATAGGAGTAGATCTGCCTATGGAGACTTAAAATATAAAGTAAGAAAATCTGTGATGCAAATGTAGGCTTCTCCATCCCCATGCCAATTCATGCTGTTGTGTCTTCCTGAAGTGTGCTTCTTTGGCCCATCATCTCATTCATGCCAGTTCATCTCTCTCTTCATTCTTCACTTTTCACTGTAAGGTTCCCTTCAAGCAAGATTGTGGCTCCAATGATATTTGTGTGTCTGATCTTCGCATCTCCTTCAATTTTTCAGGGTAAGTGATATCCTCTTGAACCATGAGCTCTTAACCTTTGGTTCTCTAGATGTCTGGGAATTCCACCTCCACAAGCCCTGGTCAGGGATTCTGAAAGTTGAGGTTTAGATAATTTGAAGGGCCAGAGGTTGAGAATTACTTGTAACCCATTCCAGACTATTTTGCTACCTTCGTTTCTGTGCCCAAGAACCAAGTGTAGCATTCCAGCCATTTCTTTGAATGTTGCAGGGGATCTAGGTTGTGATCTTTGGCCTGTATTAAGCAGTACATAAAAGCAGGATTCCTTCCAAAATCACAAGGCTGGTTCTCTCCCATCATTTGCTCATGGAAGAACTGCATTGGGAATCGACTAGGCAAGGCATTCTGGGATGTATCTCTCAGAAAACATACTATATCTCCTTTTATTTGCCAGCTTGTCCTGAAAAGTGAAAAAACTTGGTCTGCTCTCCAGATGGCACATAGTAAGAGGTGGTACAACATTCCAGGTTCATATTATATTTGTACAGGAACTCATCCTGGTAATATCAACCATTGGGCCATGTGCTTGGCAATTCTTTTCTCAAAACTCCTAAGCTGGCCTAGCTGGCTGAGGGAGTTCAGGAGCTTTATACTTAAAAAAAATAGTATTTCCAAGTTCTGGAGGTAGCAGTGTCTGCTTCTGTTTTACAAACTGGAACTTGAGATTCGGGGTCAAGGACTTGGATGAGGTTCATTCTGTGATTCTTTAGGAGTTGAACAGTTGTTTCTCTCTTGTTGAATTTCAGGTCAAAGGGCCTTAAACTGAGTCCAAATTTCATACTGAACTTAACAGTGAAACTAGAAAATGTGGGAGAGACAGCATATGAGCCAGGCCTTTCCTTTTACTACTCCCCTATTTTGTCCTTCCAGAGAGCTTCAGTTCTTCAGGTGAGTTGGAGAAATAATTTTGGAAGTGGGTTGGAAGGATAGGGCGTGTCCCAGATTTTGGAACGGGATGGTATCTGTTCTGAGTGAACACCAGAAAGCTATTTTTTTTTCCTTTTTAAAATCCTTATATGATTTTCTCTCTCTGTTTCCTCCTTAAAGTCTAATTGGCGCTTGTCCCCTGCTTGTGAAATGCATGGATCCCAAGGAAATACATCTGTCCGTCACAGTTCCTGCAGTTTCAGGCCCCCAATCCTCAAAAGAGGCATTCAGGTAAGAAATGGAAGCAAGTGGGGTAAGAAAATAAATTTGAGGGTAAAATCACAGTATTTGGTCAATAATCGAGAAGCAAAAGAAACTATAAAGCGTGGGGTTATTGTAGTTCTTGAACCTGTAGAACTGCCTGTGTGCTCCAGTCAACAACTACCTTTTTGTTCTTCAAAAACCAAGTTCATAGTCCATATGTCTTTGGAAATAATCTTGACTTTGTAAAGGGCTTGTGTAGTGAAAATCACTGCATAGAAAACAAGGATGTTTAGTAGGATTGTCTGGATGTTTTTAAAATATATATATAGGTGTACAAATGGCAAAGCAGACAGTGAGTGTAAATGGGAAAGTTGTCATGCTCAGAATCCACCATTTCTGACCTTTGTTTGATTGTTCAAGGCCTTCCTGCAATTTTCCTTCCGCTCCTCCAGTGGCGACTCTTGGCAGAGCAAGTTTGCTTACTTCACCATCCAAGCACACAGGTGAGGAAAGCCACCCTGTATTTGTCTGCCTCCGTGATTTCTGACTTTGTGTCCCTCACTCCGTTCTCGCCTTCCGTCTTCCAGTCAGAATGAAAATAACACACTAAGCGACAACAAGGCCACAGAACAGCTGCCAGTGCTGCACCCAGTCAATGTTATTGTGAAGGGGTAAGTCCAGCACATAGACATACACACACACATTGTTTCCTCTGTTCCTTTCCTCCGTCTTCCATCATCACCCACAGCCCATTCCTCACCAAGAACCACGAGGGAAGGGAGAGCAGGACAGCATAGATATAGGCGGTTATGCAATAAACAGCTTTGTGTTTGGGAAGAGGGAACAATCCTGCCACTCTGCAGGGTGAGGTGGCCGCTGTAGGCAGATTTGGAGTGTCATAACGTTGGAGAAATTCATTCATTTAGTGATTGTATTTCTGCTTTGAGGGTAGAGGAAAAATATCTGGGATTTTCTGTCTCGCATGACAAAATCATTTGGCTGGCTTTTGGAGGAGTTCTGGGGGCAGGGGACGGAGTCACTCTTGCTCTGTCTTATTCTTATGCCAGCCCTTTAGCAGGGAGCTGCAGCTCCTCCTTAGAAGCATGTACTTCAAATGCCAAAGGTCTCAGGTTGCATCTTGAGCATTTGATTGCGCCTTCGTCAATGATTACACTGGATTACAGCAGCCATCAACCCCAGTCATCCTCAGACACCATTGACTTTGCTGGCAGGAAATGATGGAAGCTGTGTCGTCTGGCACATCTGAAGGGTTGCAGCAAGGCAATCCAGAACAGCTTTCTGCCCGAGACTCTGGAGGTGCCTCTGTAATGTCAGAGCCTCACTCAGAAAGAACAGAAGGGGAAGAGAACGAACAGGGAATGGACATGGGCAAGTGAGGTGGCTGAGGGAACAGCTGCTAAAATGGGATGACAGGACTGCAGACTGGCTGGCATAATATCCAAAGCAGGCCTCCTGAGCCCCAGCATCCAATCTGGATCTGTCAACAAGGGAGTGAGTCCCAAACATTCTCCTCTCTTGCCTGCATTCTGGAATGGTTTCAGTCCAGCCAGCAAAACATCACCTGATGCAGCTGATTTTGTGGCTTGGTTCTTAGCTGACCACATAGAGCGAGAGAGGGGGAAAAACAAAAAAATTAGGTTTTCTGCAACCTAGCAAGCATGCCCACTGCAGTTCTGGTGGGGAGGTGTGTGTGTGAAGCAGCATATGGGTATCTTAGCATAATGCATAGTGTGCATCACCACAATATGGTGTTTTACTGTGTGTGTGTTTTTAATAAGAAATAAATACATTTATGATTGTGCCCCTACAGCCCGCCCATGTAGTCTGGAGAGAATATAAGTGGTTGTGTTATACTGTATCAGACCATAAGTGTATCTACACTAGTTGTGTTAGCATGTCACTACCACGTCACTACTGTGATTCCATCTTATGGAATCCTGGCATTTGTAGTTTGGTGAGGCATTGAGAATTCTCTGCTAGAGAGCTTCCTCTAAATTACAACTCAGAATGTTAGGCACCTCACGAAACTATAAATCCCAGGATGCCTTGTTACGGTGCCAGGGAAGTTAAAGAGCTGTCATGCTGCTATAACTGTCAAGTGTAGATAGTCTATCATGCTTACTGCTATCTGTAGCGGGAATAGGGGCATATGTGGCTTATCAGATGTGGAAACAGCCTTAGCCAATATAGCCAATTTTGAGGGATTATGGGATTTGTAGTGCAACAGAATCGAGTTTTTTTGCTAGACATTGACTTTTTGCGATCGCTATAGTGATTCGCAAAACAATGATTCCAATGGGGGAATTTTGCTGGACAATGTTTGGTCCCTGCTTCGCAAACCAATTTTCTCTAGACAACTATTTTGAAAGCTTGCTCGCAAATCAGGTGTTTTCAGGACCTAAGCTTCACAAGACAGCTATTTAAACAGCTGATCAGCGGTTTGCAAAGCAGCTTTCCTATGGACAACAACAATTCTTCCCCATTGGAACACATTAAACAGGTTTCAATGCATTCCAATGGGGAAATGCTTTTCGCTAGACAATGATTTCGCTAAACAGTGATTTCAGTGGAACGGATTATCATCGTCTAGCAAGGCACCACTGTATAGCCAATTTTGAGGGATTATGGTATTTGTAGTGCAACAGAATCTGGAGGACCACCCTTTCCCCACCACTAGTCTAGGTTAATATACATGAGACTTCCCGTCAGTCAGAAATCTTTCCACACCCAACTGAAGATCCAGAAGATTAGATCTAAGGACTTCTGCATGGAAAGCATGTGCCCTTCCACTGAGTTGGACTGAAGACTGCAGATCCCTTGGTGATTTCTGTGAACTTTCCCCCTATTCTTTCTTCACTAGGCTTGAATCCACTGCATATCTTAATTTCTCTACCAGGATTCCCGAGAAGAAAATACTTACACACGCCTATGAGGTAATACATGTGTTCCATCCACTTACGTCAATCCTTCCAACCACTTACCTGTACAATCCATCCACTGTTTTAGCCTATCATCATATCTTGCTGTCGACCTAGAACAACAGCCAACCTAGGAGTTTGAAAGCATGTAAAACTGTGAGTAGATAAATAGGTATCACCACGGTGGGAAGGTAACGGCATTCTGTATCTAGTCGAGCTGGCCACGTGACCACGGAAACTGTCTACAGACAAATGCTGGCTCTACGGCTTGGAGACGGGGATGAGCACCGCCCCACTAGAGTCAAACACGACTGGACATTTGTCAAGGGGAACCTGTACCTTTACCTACCTAGAAGGAACAACTTCCTCTCTGACTTTAACTTTGTGTCCTTTCACAGCTGATGGGATATCCTTTTTGGGTGGGTGGAATCACAGAACTGAAGTTCGGGAGGACTCCTTGTCTGTCTGTCTGTCTGTCTGTCTGTCTGTCTGTCTGTCTCAGTCCTTCACAATATGGGATCCTCCAGACTTGCTGGAATGCAGTTAACCAGATTCCTAGAACTTTCACGCCAACATGCCTGAAGATTCCCAGGTTAGGAGTGCTTATTCTGACTAGTAAGGAACTGTTTTGAAAGCCTGCAAGTTTACCAAGATGTACCAGCCACACTAGGAACACACAACTTTAACAGCTGCTTTTCACCCTTTTTAAAAACAGCAACAATTTTTATGTTTTCCCTGTCTACATCCTATAATCCTCCCATCATGCTTAATTTCTCCCATTGTTGTATTTTGTTTTGGCAGGTCAGAAACTTAGGCTCAAACATCACCCCAGTCAATGTGACCTTTAAGCTCCCCTTAAAGACTAAATTGGGTTTCTTCTGGAATGTTACCCCGACCCATGACGACGTAGTGAGTAGAAAACTTGCCGGGAGAAGGATGGTGCAGAAGGGGGTGGTTATAAATGTGTGGACAATAAAGGGTGGTTAGAGAGGGATTGTGGAATTAACATTGGCGCGAGGAGTAGAAGAGGAAAGACTATGGAAGGAAGCCTATAGATGAAGTGGGCAGTGGGGTAGACATATACTGTGCACAAATAGCAAACGCAGGGGATTTCTAGAGAATGTGTGTCAGTATTTTTGCCTCTTTTTCTCTCCAAAAACGCCAAAAAGATATAGTACTGTGTTTTAATGAGACTAGCTTCTTGCCACCGCAGCACACTAGCAGGGCACAGTAGCAGGACTGGTGATAAGACCACGCAGCTTCTGATCCACAGAGATAGTGCTGTAAGATGCAATCCCCTGGCAGCCTGAGAAGATCAAATTGGAAAGCTTCCAGGGTACAATTGCCTAGTTGTGCTGACTCCATCCTTTCTGATCAGAAGGAGGTTCCTGTGACTGCCCTTGCTTCAGAAGAAGTGGAAGCTGCCCTTTCCACCCCCTCATTATTCTCTGGTTATGAAGCTAAGGAAAGACAAACCAAACCCTTCTTTTGAGAAAAGGGTGCATGACTGGGTGGGTGGCTTGGCCAATGCATTGGTGTCAAGGCTAAGGAGTGACATAGCACTAAACTCCTCTTCCCTGGCCTTATTATTGTACTATAGCATTCTCCATGCCTTTGAAGAAAGGCGGCTTAAAAATAAACAAATATATGCAGCCAAAAATGCATTGCCTATGTATGGGATGGGGTGAGGTTTCAGGAAGGTTGGGGGAACCTTAAGGTTTAGAAAGAAAAAAATGGATAACAAATATTTACCAAACTGTAGTCCCTTCCAACTAAACTTTCCAGTGAGAAGTCAACACCCTCATTAGAAACAGAATGCTAACCAATGGAGACAGGAGAGAAAATCTAGGGGGTGATGGCCACATTGTATGTCCTGGAAACTGATTATGTGTAAACCTGAGCACAAGCCACGACTGCTGCAACATTTTGTTGCAGGTCCCAGTTATATAGGATATTTTCCTTTCCTTTCTAGATGAATCGGTTCTCATGCATGTTCACTTTCAAAAAAGGAATCAAGACTAAGGACCTTAAAAAACCTAGCACGGTAAGAACTGGATTAGAAAATGCAGCTACTTTGGAGTGGGTTGGTGAATGTTTATGGAAGGATCCCTTCCTCTTAATCAGGGCTGAAAAACAGAGGCCTCTGTGGTGTCCAGGGCGTTGATAACAGCAAGGTGATTTTGCTTTTTGACAGAGAGGATGCTTGGGAGCTTCCATCTGCTCTACATTTCAGTGCCTAATTGCCAATCTCTCTCTGGGTGAAGGGATCACATTCATTTTTTCTGGAGAATTTTACATACAAGATGATATTAAGGTAAGTGGTGCCTCCTTCAGGTAGTAAAGGCTATTGCAGGGTAGCATTTGGAAAGAAATGTACAGTATTCTTGAAGGATTTCATGGGCGATGGTTGTTTTTCTCCCCTTCTCACAACAATACACCCATAACAAAAAACACCCTGATCACTATAATCACCCAATCTCCTGAAAACAACAAAAAGCAGATCCCACAGCTACAAATACTCAGCTATCCCGCACACTACACCAGAACACATGACAGAGTTCTGACTCTTGTCCTCTGAAGATGCTGGACACAGAGACTGGCAAAATGTTAGGAAGAAAAATCTCCACAACACTGCCAAACAGCCTGAAAACCCTACAACAACCAGTTGGAAGGAAGGTTTCCCTTGACAGTCTTGGGGGAAAGGGTGGGGGTG